CATCGTTTTCTTTTAGTATTATGTCATTAGCTTGCGTACTTTTCCTTGAATGCAAAAATGGGCGGTATGTGTCCCAAAACTCCCTTGGGTTTTCCGACTCACTTTTCTTGTCAAAGAAAGTTTTAATAGCTTTACGTCTTAGAGAAGTGCAAATGTTCCTTTGTCTCTTGTACAATTCATAATTAGTATCAGTTCTTTCACGAATGAAACACTTCCACAAACGGTTCTTCTGACGAATAGCTCTGCGCCATTGTTCATTCGTAAAGGGAACTTGAATTCCCTTTATGCGGACCTGTTTCAAAGGTGCGTGCTTAAAAAAGAATGTCCTCATATAAACAATCAAACACGTAGAGCCTATCATCAACGTCGTCAAATATTTCAGCTACTTGGAAAGGAACATTATGCAAATCATGTAGAAAAGGGTTAGCTTGAGGTCAAATCAAAGATAAAATATTTTTTATCTACACAACTTTTAAAGATTTTTCCTGGACGTCTACGGCGATATTCATGTTTTGCATTTGGTTTGAGATTTTGAACGCTTATTGTTTTCCCAGGAGTTAACCCCAACCCTAACCCTAGGGTTAACCTTGCGGTTAGGGTTAGGGTTAGTTTCAGGTCACTTCGAAGATCAAAAATTTTTCATCAGCACAACTTTTAAACATTTTTCCCTGGACGTCTACGACGATATTGATGTTTTGCATTTGCTTTCAGATTCTCATCGCTTATCGTTTTACCAGGAGTTAACCCCAACCCTAACCCTAGGGAGAAGCTTAGGGTTAGGGTTAGCTTAAATTCACTTCGAAGAAAACACATTTTTCATCTACACAACTTTTAATGATTTTTCTTTGGACGTCTACGACAATATTCATGTTTTGCATTTGGTTTTACATTCTCAACGCTTATCGTTTTCCATGGAGTTAACTCCAACCCTAACCCTAGGGTTAAGGTTACTGTTAGGGTTAGGGTTAGGGTTAGCTTGAGGTCACTTTGAACATAAAAAATTCTTCATCTAGACAACTTTTAAACATTTTTTCTTGGACTTCTACCACGACATTTATGTTTTGCAGTTCATTTTAGATTTCCAATGCTTATTGTTTTCCCAGGAGTTCGCCCCAACCCTAAACGTAGGGTTAAGCTTAAGGTTAGGGTTAGCTTGAGGTCACTTCGAAGATAAAAAAGTTTTCATCTACACAACATTTAAAGATTTTGCCTGGACGTCTACGACGATATTCATGTTTTGCATTTGGTTTGAGATTTTGAACGCTTATAGTTATCCCAGGAGTTAACCCGAACCCTAACCCTAATGTTAAGCTTAGCGTTAGGGTTAGCGTTAGCTTGAAGTCACTTCGAAGATAAAATTTTTCATGTACACAACTTTTGAAGATTTTTCCCTAGACGTCTACGACAATAATCATGTTTTGCATTTGGTTTTATATTCTCAACGCTTATCGTCTTCCCTGGAGTTAACCCCAACCCTACCCTTAGGGTAAGCTTAGGATTAGGATTAAGTTGGGGTCACTTCGAGGATAAAAAAATTTTTCATCAACACAACTTTTAAACATTTTCCCCTGGACGTCTATGGCGATATTCATGTTTTGCATTTGGTTTTAGATTTCCAATGTTTATCGTTTTCCCAGGAGTTCGCCCCAACCCTAAACGTAGGGTTAAGCTTAAGGTTAGGGTTTGCTTGAGGTCACTTCGAAGAAAAAAAATTCTCATCAACACAACTTTTAGAGATTTTTCCCTGGACGTCTACGACGATATTCATATTTTGCATTTGGTATCAGATTCTTGACGCTTATCGTTTTCCCAGGAGTTAACCCCAACCCTACCCTTAGGGTTAAGCTTAGGATTAGGATTAAGTTGGGGTCACTTCGAGGATAAAAAAAGTTTTCATCAACACAACTTTTAAACATTTTCCCCTGGACGTCTATGACGATATTCATGTTTTGCATTTGGTTTCATATTCTCAACGCCTTTCGTTTTCCCAGGAGTTAACCCCAACCCTAACCCTAAGGTTAAGCTTAGGGTTAGGGTTAGCTTAAGGTCACTTCGAAGATAAAAAAATTTTCATCAACACAACTTTTAAAGATTTTTCCCCGGACGTTTACGACGATATTGATGTTTTGCATTTGGTTTGAGATTTTCAACGCCTATAGTTTTCCGAAGAGTTAACCCCAACCTTAACCCTAGGGTTAAGCTTAGGGTTAATGTTAGCTTGAGGTCACTTCAAAGATTAAAAATTTTTTCATCTAAACAAATTTTAAAGATTTCTTCATCGACCTCTACGACAATATTCATGTTTTGCATTTGGTTTCATATTCTGAACGCTTACCGTTTTCGCAGGAGTTAACCCCAACCGTAACCCTAGGTTAAGCTTAGGGTTAGGGTTAGGGCTAGCTTAAGGTCACATCAAAGATAAAAAATTTTTATCTACACAACTTTTAAAGATTTTTTCCGTTACTGTCTACGACTATATTCATGTTTTGCATTTCGTTTTAGATTCTCAACGCTTATCGTTTTCCCAGGAGTTATTCCCAACCCTAACCCTAGGGTTAAGCTTAGGGTTAGGGTTAGCTTGAGGTCAATTCAAAGATTAAAAAATTTTCATTTAAACAAGTTTTAAAGATTTTTTTCGTCGACGTCTACGACGATATTCATGTTTTGCATTTGGTTTCAGATTTTCAACGCTTATGGTTTTCCCAAGACTTAACCCCAACCCTAACCCTAGGGTTAACCTTGCGGTTAGGGTTAGGGTTACCTTGAGGTCACATCGAAGATAAAAAATTTTTCATTTACACAACTTTTAAACATTTTTCCCTGAACGTCTACGGCGATATTCATGTTTTGCATTTGGTTTCAGATTCTATACGCTTATCGCTTTCCCAGGAATCAGCCCCAACCCTAGCCCTAGGGTTAAGCTTAGGGTTAGAGTTAGGTTGGGGTCACTTCGAGGATAAAAAATATTTTAATCTATGCATTTTTTAAAGATTTTTGCCTTGACGTCTACGACGATATTCATATTTTGAATTTGGTTTCAGATTCTCATCGCTTATCGTTTTCCCACGAGTTTACCCCAACCCTAACCTTATAGTTAAGCTTAGGGTTAGGGTTAACTTGGGGTCACTTTCAAGATAAAAACTTTTTCATCAACACAACTTTTAAAGATTTTTTCCTGGACGTCAACGACGATATTCATGTTTTGCATTTGGTTTCAGATTCTCAACGCTTATCGTTTTCCCAGGACTTAACCCCAACCCCAACCCTAGGGTTAAGCTTCTGGTTAGGGTTGGGGTTAACTCCTGGTAAAACGATAAGGGTTTAGAATCTGAAACCAAATGCGAAACATGTTTTTCGCCGTAGCCGTGCAGGGAAAAATGTTTAAGAGTTGTGTAGATGAAAAACTTTTTATCTTTAATGTGACCTCTAACTAACCCTAACCCTAAGCTTAATCCTAGGGTTAGGTTTGGGGTTAACTCCTGGGAAAACGATAAGCGTTAAGAATCTGAAACTAAATGCAAAACATGAATATCGTCGTTGACGTCCAGGGAAATATCTTTATAACTTGTGTAGATGAAAAAATTTTTATCCTAGAAGTGACCCCAACCTAACCCTAAGGTCAGCCCTAGGGTTAGGGTTGGGGTTAACTTCTAAGAAAACTATAAGCATTCAGAATCTAAAACCAAATGCAAACGATAAGTATTGTCCTAGTCGTTCAGGGAAAAATCTTTAAAACTTGTGTAGCTACGAAATTTTGTATCGTGGAAGTGACCCAAAGCTAACCCTAAGCTAAGCCTTAGGGTGAGTGTTAGGGTTAACTCCTGGGAAAAGGATAAGCGTTGAGAATCTGAAACCACATGCAAAACATGAATATCGTCGTAGACGTCAAGGGAAAAATCTTTAAAAGTTGTGTAGATGAAAAACGTTTTACCTTTGATGTGACCTCAAGCTAACCCTAACCCTAGCTACAAACTTAACCCGAGGGTTAGGGTTGGGGTTAACTTTTAAGAAAACTATAAGCGCTTAGAATTTTAAACCAAATGCAAACGATAAGTATTGTCGTAGACATTCAGGAAAAAATCTTTAAAACTTGTGTAGCTACGAAATTTTGTATCGTGGAAGTGACCCCAAGCTAACCCTAAGCTAAGCCTTAGGGTTAGTGTTAGGGGTTAACTCCTGGGAAAAGGATAAGCGTTGAGAATCTGAAACCTTATGCAAAACATGAGTATCGTCGTAGACGTCAAGGGAAATATCTTTAAAACATGTGTAGATGAAAAAAATTTTATCTTGAAAGTGACCCCAAGCTAACCCTAAGCTCAGCCCTAGGGTAAGGGTTGGGGTTAACTTCTAAGAAAACTACAAGCGTTCAGAATCTTTAACCAAATGCAAACGATAATTATTGTCGTAGACGGTCAGGGAAAAATCTTTAGAACTTGTTTAGCTACGAAATTTTATATCCTGGAAGTGACCGCAATTTAACCCTAAGCCTAACTCTAGGGTTAGTGTTGAGGTCAACTCCTGGGAAAACAATAAGCGTAGAGAAGGTCAAACCAAATGCAAAACATGAATATAGTGGTAGACGTCCAGGCAAAAATCTTAAAAAGATGTGTAGATGAAAAATTTTTTATATTCGATGTGACCTCAACCTGACCCTAACCTAGGATTTTCGAAAGCTAAAATCTTGATATCGGCCAAAATCTTAAAAACCGGCCAAAATCTTGATTTCAGGATTTTGGAAAGCTAAAATCTTAAAATCTACCAAAATCTTGAATTCAGGATTTTGCAAAGCTAAAATCTTGAAATCTGCCAAAATCTTAAATTCAGGATTTTAAAAAGTTAAAATCTTGAAATCAGCCAAAATCGTGAATTCAGGATTTTCGAAAGCTACAATCTTGAAATCTGCCAAAATCTTGAATTCAGTATTTTGGAAAGCTAAAATTTTGAAATCCGCCAAAATCTTCAATTGTTGATTTTGGAAAGCTAAGATCTTGAAATCGGCCAAAATCTTGAATTCACAATTTTGGAAAGCTAAAATCTTGAAATCGGTCAAAATCTTGAATTCAGGATTTTGGAAAGCTAAATTCTTGAAATCAGCAAAAATCTTGAATTTAGGATTTTGGAATCCTAAAATCTTGATATCGGCCAAAATCCTGAATTCAAGATTTTCGAAAGCTAAAATCTTCAAATCGGCAAAAATCTTGAAATCAGGATTTTGGAAACGTAAAATCTTCTAATCAGCCAAAATCTTTAATTCAGGATATTGAAAAGCTAAAATCTTGAAATCGGCGAAGATCGTGAATTCAAGATATTGGAAAGCTAAAATCTTGAAATCGGAAAAAATCTTGAATTCAAGATAATGGAAAGCTAAAATTTTGAAATCCACAAAAATCTTAAATTCTGGATTTTGGAAAGCTAAAATCTTGAAATCAGCCAAAATCTTAAAATCTGCCAAAATCATGAACTCAGGATTTTGGAAAGCGTAAATCTTGAAATCCCCCAAAATGTTGAATTAAGGATTTTGGAAAGCTAAGATCTTGAAATCGGCCAAAATCTTGAATTCAGGATTTTGCAAAGCTAAAATCTTGAAATGGGCCAAAATCTTGAATTCAGGATTTTAAAAAGTTAAAATCTTGAAATCAGCCAAAATCTTGAATTCAGGATTTTCGAAAGCTACAATCTTGAAATCTGCCGAAATCTTGAATTCAGGATTTTGGAAATCTAAAATCTTGTAATCGACCAAAAACTTGAATTCAGGATTTTGGAAAAGTGAAATCTTGAAATCGGCCAAAATCTTGAATTCAAGATTTTGGAGGGGTTAAAATCTTGAAATCCGCCAAAATCTTGAATTCACGATTTTGGAAAGCTAAAATCTTGAAATCCACCAAAATCTTGAATTGAAAATTTTGGAAAGCTGACATCTTGAAATCCGCCAGAGTCTTCAATTCAGGGTTTTGGAAAGCTAAAATCTCGAAATCCGCCAAAATCTTGGAATGAGGATTTTGGAAAGCTAAGATCTTGAAATCTGCCAAAATCTTGAATTCAGTATTTTGGGAAAATAAAATCTTGAAATCTCCCAAAATTTTGAATTGAGGATTTTGGAAAGCTAAAATCTTGAAATCAGCCAAAATCTTGAAATCGGCCAAAATCTTGCATTCGGGATTTTGGAAAGCTAAAATCTTGAAATCGGCCAAAATCTTGAAATCAGCATTTTGGAGAGCTAAAATCTTGAAATCCGCCAAAATCATGAATTCAAGAATTTCGAAAGCTAAAATATTGAAATCGGCCAAAATGTTGAATTCAGGATTTTGTAAAGCTAAAATCTTAAAATCGGCCAAAATCTTGCATTCAGGATTTTGGAAAGCTAAAATCTTAAAATCCGTCAAAATCTTGAATTGAGGATTTTGGAAAGCTAAGAATTTGAAATAGGCTAAAATCTTGAAATCCGCCAAAATCTTGAAATCCCCCAAAATTTTGAATTCAGGATTTTGGAAAGCTAAGATCTTGACATCGGCCAAAATCTTGAATTGAGGATTTTAGAACGCTAAGATCTTGAAATCGGCCAAAATCTTGAATTCAGGATTTTGGCAAGCTAAAATCTTGAAATCGGCCAAAATTTTGAATTCAGGATTTTGGAAAGCTAAGATCTTGAAATGAGCCAAAATCTTGAATTCCGGATTTTGGAAAGCTAAAATCTTGATATACCCCAAAATCTTGAATTCGGCATTTTGGAAAGCTAATATCTTGAAATCGGCCAGAATCTTGAATTCAGGATTTTGGAAAGCTAAAATCTTGAAATGGGCCAAAATCTTAAATTGAGGATTTTGGAAAGCTAATATCTTGAAATCGGCCAGAATCTTGAATTCAGGATTTTGGAAAGCTAAAATCTTGAAATCGGCTACAACCTTGAATTCAGGATTTTGGAAACCTAACATTTTGAAATCCGCCAAAATCTTGAAATGAGCCAAAATCTTGAATTCAGGATTTTCCAGAGCTTAAATTTTGAAATCGGCCAAAATCTTGAATTCAGGATTTTGAAAAGCTAAAATCTTGAAATCAGACAAAATCTTTAATTCAGGATTTTGGAAAGCTAAAATCTTGAAATCGGCCAAGATCTTGAATTCAGGGTCCTGGAAAGGTAAAATCTTAAAATCGGCCAAAATCTTGAATTCAGGGTCCTGGAAAGCTAAGCTCTTGAAATCAGCCAAAATCTTGAATTCAGGATTTTGGAAAGCTAAAATCTTGAAATCGGCCAAAATCTTGAATTCAGGATTTTGGAAACCTAAGATCTTCTAATCGGCCAAAATCTTGAATTCAGGATTTTGGAAAGCTAAAATTATGAAAACGGCCAAAATCTTGAATTCAGGATTTTATAAACCTAAGATCTTCTAATAGGCGAAAATCTTGAATTCAGGATTTTGGAAAGCTAAAATCTTGAAATCGGCTAAAATCTTGAATTCAGGATTTTATAAACCTAAGATCTTCTAATCGGCCAAAATATTGAATTCAGGATTTCTGAAAGCTAAAATCATGAAATCGGCCAAAATATTAAATTCAGGATTTTGAAAAGCTAAAATCTTTAAATCCGCCAAAATCTTGAATTCTGGATTTTGGAAAGCTAAAATCTTGAAATCGGCCAAAATCTTGAATTCAGGATGTTGGAAAGGTACAATCTTGAAATCTGTCGAAATCTTGAATTCAGTAGTTTGGAAAGCTATAATTTTGAAATCCGCTAAAATCTTGAATTGAGGATTTTGAAAAGCTAAGATCTTGAAATCGGCCAAAATCTTGAATTCAGGATTTTGGAAACCTAAAATCTTGAAATCGGCCAAAATCTTGAATTCAGGATTTTGGTAAGCTAAGATCTTGAAATCGGCAAAAATCTTGAATTCTGGCTTTTGGAAAGCTAAAATCTTGAAATCGGCCGAATTCTTGAATTCTGGATCTTGGTAAGCTAAAATCTTGAATTCAGGATTTTGGAAAGCTAAAATCTTGATATCGCCCAAAAATCTTGAATTTAGGATTTTGGAAAGCTAAAATCTCGAAATCGACAAAAATCTTGAATTCTGGATTTTGGAAAGCTAATATCTTGAAATAAGCTAAAATCATGAATTTAAGATTTTGGAATGCTAAAATGTTGCAAAAAGCCAAAATCTGGAGCTGAGGATTTTGGAAAGCTAACATCTTGAAGTCAGCCAAAATCTTGAATTTAGGATTTTTGAAACCTAGAATCTTGAAAACGCCAAAATCTGGATTCTGGATTTTGGAAAGGTAAAATCTTGATTTGAAGATTTTGGAAAGCTAAAATCTTTTAAAAAGCCTAAATCTTGAAGTCAGGATTTTTGACAGGTAAAATCTTAAACTTAGCCAAAATCTTCAATTCAAGATTTTGGAAAGCTAAAATCTTGAAAAAAGCAAAAATCTTGAATGAAAGATTTTGGAATGGTAAAATCTTGAACAAAGCCAAAATCTTGAATACAAAATATTTGCAAAGGTAAAATCTTGAAGCCAGCCAAAATCTTGAATTCAAGAGTTTTGGAAGCTAATATCTTGAAAAAAGTCAAAATCTTGAATTTAAGATTTTGGAAAGCTAAAATCTAGAAGTTCGCCAAAATCCTTAATTCAGGATTTTAGAAAGCTAAAACCTTGAAGCCAGCTAAAATCTTGAATTTAAGATTTTGGAAAGCTGAAATCTTGACAAAAGCCAAAATCTTAAATACAGGAGTTTGGAAAGATAAAATCTTGAAGTCTGCAAAAATCTTGAATTCAAGATTTTGGAAAGGTAAGAACTTGAAGTCAGCCAAAATCTTGAATTCAAGATTTAGGAAAGCTAAACTCGTGGTGAAGGCCAAAATCTTGAATTCTTGATTTTGTAAAGCCAAAATGTTGAAATAAGCTAAAATCTTAAATCTAAGATTTTGGAAAGCTAAAACGTTGAAAAAAGCCAAAATCTTGAATGCAGGATTTTGGAAAGCTATAATCTTGGTTTCAGCCAAAATCTTGAATTCAAGATTTTGGATGACCTCAAGATTTTACCTTTCCAAAATCTTGAATACAAGATTTTGGCTGACTTTAAGATTTTAGCTTTACAAAATCGTAAATTTAAGATTGTGGCTGAAATAAAGATTTTAGCTATCCAAAATCTTGAACTTAAGACTTTGGCTGACTTCAAGATTCTAGCTTTCCAAAATCTTGAATTCAAGATTTTTGCTAACTTTAGGATTTAGCTTTCCAAAATCTTAAATTGAAGATTTGGGTGACTGTAAGATTTTAGCACTGGGTGACACGCCTGCAAAAGTGAAGGCCGAGACAGTAAGCGCCACGCTAGCCGAAGTGAAAGCTCAGCCTCTAGTCGACGCTCTGGCTGGCACGCTATAAACGCTAGCAGGGGTAGAGGCCGGAACACTAATGGACACAGTGGCCCAAGTGAAAGCCGAAACACTATTCGATGCTCTGGCTAACACGCTAATACAGATGGAATCCTAGACACAAAGCGACACCCAGGCTGAATTGAAGGTTAAGGCACTAAGCAATGCTTTCGCTTGTTAGTCAACAGAGGTGGAGCCAAATACACAATGCGAACAGTGGGCAATGCGAAGGCCGAGTTTCAACTCGAGGCTCTAGCTGACAGGGCAAGAAGAAGTGAAGGCCAAGACACGAAGCGACAGACTGGCCGAAGTGAAAGCAAAGGCACTAGTCGATGCTCTGGCTGACTGGCCAACAGCTGAGTTGCAGCCCGAGGAGCTAATCGAAAGACTGGTTAAAGTGGAGGCCGAGGCTCTACTCAATGCTCTGCCTAACACGCTGGCAGAGGAGGCTGGTGAGACACACAAAAAGACACCTGGAGATATGGAGGCCAAGACACTGGTGGATGCTCTGCGTTACGCGCTAGAAGAGAAGAACGCTGACACACAGGACGATACACTAGGTTATATAGAGGCCGAAACATTTGTCGAGGCGCTCGCTTATACGGTAAGAAAATATGGAGGTGGAGACAGTAAGCCAACTCAGGCCAATGTGAATTCCGTGGCACTAGTGGAGGCTTTGGCTGACACTGTAGCGGAAGTGGAGATTGAGTCACTAAGCAACACACCGGCCAAAGTGAACACCAAGGCACTAGCCGATGCTCTGGCAGACACGCTAGAAGAGGTGGAGCGCGGGACACTAAGCGAACACTGGCTGATGTGATGGCCAATGCACTAGTCGATGATGACACGGTAGGAAAGAACCAGGTCGAGAAACTAAGCAACACACTGGTCGAGCTGAAGGCATAGGCACTAGTGGATGCTCTGGCTGAGACGCCAGCAGTAGAGGAGGCGGAGACACGAACGGATACACAGGTTAAAGTGAAGGCCGAGGCACTATTGGATGCTCTCGTTTCACACGGTTGCAGACGTAATGGTAGAGAAACTAAGAGACACATTGGTCTAAGGAAAGAGCGAGCGACAAGTAAAAACTTTGGGGGACCCTTAATCAGAAGTGGAGGCCGAGACAGATCGTCTCATTGGCCAAAGTTAAAGCAGAAGCAATACTCAATGCTCTGGCACACACGCTAGCAGAGGTGGAAGGCTAGACACCAAGCGACACACTGACTAAAGTGAATGCCGAGGGTACTTGTCGATGCACTGGCGCACTGGCTAAAAGAAGGGTGGCCCGAGACACTCAGCGAACACTGGCCAATGTAGAAACAGAGGCACTACTGGAGGCTGTGGCTAACAGGCTAGGAAAAGTGGGGGCCGAGACACTAAGCGACACACTGGGCGAAGTAAAGACCGAGGCAGTAGTCCCTTATCTGGCTGACTGGCCAACAGACTTAAAGCTCGAGACACTAAGCAAATTCTGGCCAATATAAAGGCCAAGACCCTAGTCGATGCACTTGCTGATACGCTAGTAGCTGACACGGTGAAAGTGGTGGAGGCCGAGAAACTAATCGACGCAGTGCCCAAAGTTGAAGCCAAAACACCAGTGCATGGTCTGGCTGACGGGTTAACACAGGTGGAGCCCTAGACACTAAAGAACACTAGTCGAGGCTTTGCTTGACACAGTAGTAGTTAATTTGGTCGAGACTCTAATCGAATGACTAATTAAAGTAAAGGCCGAAGAACGAAGTCGATGCGCTAAATAACAACGCTAGCAGACAAGGAGTTAAAGACACTAAGCGAATGCTAGCCGATTTGAAGGCTAAGGCAAATAGTTAATGCTCTGGCCGACATGCTAGCAGAAGTTGACTGCTGCACACTAAGCAACACACGGGTTGAAGTGACCTGGGTGACACGGTTTCAGACAACAAAGGAAGGGACATTAACTGATGCAGGTTAAAGTGAAGGCCGAATCACTGTTCTATGCTCTGGCTAACACAGTAGAAAACTTAAAGGCATAGAAACTAAGAGACACACTGTCCGATGTAAAGGCCAAAGCGCAGGTCGATGCTCTAGCTGACGCGCTAGTCCATGCTCTAGCTGACTAGCCAAAAGAGGTAAAGCCAGAGACACAAATCGAAAGACTGGCTAACGGGAAGCCTTAGGCGCTACTTAATAGTACTAAAGCAGGTCGAAACAGTAATCGAAAAACTGATTAAAGTGATGACCGAGGCACTAGTCGATGATTTGGTCGATACGCTAGCAAACGAGGGGCGCAAGACGCTAAGCTAACATCTCGCCGATGTAAAGGCCAAGGCACTGGTAAATACTTTGGCTTACACGGTAGTAGAAGTGCAGGCTGAGACGCTAAGCAAAACACTGGCCAAAGTAAAAGCCTAGCCAACAGTCGATGCTCTTGCTGTCACGGTAGCACAGGTGGAGGCTGAGACAACTTCAAGACACTGGTTTAAGTAAAGGCGGAGACACTAGTGGATTGCTATGCCTCACACGCTAGCAGACTTGGAGATTGAGACACTAAGCAACACACTGGCCAAAGTGAACGCCGAGGCACTAGTCGATTCTTTGGCTTACACGCTAGAAGAAGTGCAGCACGGGACACTAGAGGACACTGGCCGATGTAAAGGCCGAGGGTCTAGTCAATGCTGTGGCTTACATACTACCAGACGTCGAAGCCTATACTCTGGAAGAAACACGGTGCGATGTAATGGTCGAGACCGTTGTCGATGTTCTGGCTGACGCGCTACCACAATTGGAAGCCGACACTGAAAAGGACATGCTGGCCAAATTAGAGGCCGAGGCACTGGTCGAAGCTCTATCTGACACGCTGGCAAAGGTGGAGGCCGAGAAACTAAGCGACACACTTGTTGACGCTTTGGCTGACTAGCTAAGAGACTCTGTGCTTAAGACTCTTAGTGA